AGCCGTTTAGCTGCCGAATGCGTGATGCTTCCCACACAACGTCTGCCAAGCAAACGCTGCGTACGTCAGGCGCGGAATGAATAAAGACTCCCATCAGCCGTGCTTGTGTTACGGGTGACTAACCTCTCGCTGAACTGGTGCTCATTCCGCATGAGAGCCCGACTATATGGCTATTTGCAAATGCAGCTGCCACAAAGCAATTCATCCTGACTCTACCACCTGTGGCTCTGAGACAACCCTCTGGACTTTTCTTTTCCTCTCCAGCTTTCCATCTCTGCTCTTTCTCTAACTTCCGAGTACGACCAGAGAACGTGACACTACTTGCATTTGCAATCTGTGCTAAGGAGAGGCGCAAATCCAATTTAGTATGCTAATGCATTTAGATGCGTGCATGTCTCTGAGGAGCGTTTCTCAACAACAAGTTTATGCAAATGCCGAAGAGCATGCCGAAGGGGATGTGGCGCCCTCACAAAGGACGTGCAACATTAAGCAACGTAGGCAAAAACAAGCTTTTAGGGCACTGTAGTCCTTTTAGCCTGGCTGTTCTGGGATTGCATACCGGGGCGGCTGACATTGACATGTACCAGCGGCAGGTGATGCGTGCGTGTTTGTGAAGTATGGAAAAATGCCTGAAGTGACAGCCGGGTGTTTGGCTCCCCCGCTTGGCCCTCGGGAATCTGCTATTAAAGAAGCTACGGCCCATTCTGGAAGAGGACCATTGATTCGGTTAATTTTATGCTGGAAAATGATTTCCCCAATGGGCAGTTTCACCAGAGCGCATTGTCTGTGGAAAAAGTACTCTAAAGCAAAAGATAAAGCACCTCGTGCTCTCTGTTTAATGTGGATGTTTTGGAATTCATGACACTTTCGGTTTGGCCCTAAAGGCCGCTCGTGCAACGAGAAGGAAGAAGAGAGAATGAGGCATATAAACTACATATATAAGTCAGACGTCTCATTAAATCGGCTTCACATGGCATAAAAGCACTAATATAGACAGCTGACCCGCTTGTCACGCCACTGAAAAACTGCCACATTTCCTTTCAAGCCTGATTTGCAGGCACATCCATTATTTCTAGCCTTCTGAGATATTGATGGACTTTTTCCTGTTTTGGGATTCAGAGCTTCAAAAAATCTCACAAGCCCAGCTGTTACCTTAAAACACATTTACAAGCCTCTCTCTATGGGAAATTATGGCTAACATGGCATTTGAAATTACAAACTGACATTTGTTATTTGAAATTTGAATATCGTTTCCATCGTGATTATGGAAAACACTGTCGCATGGTAGGGAATGGGCATTCCGATCAATTTACGATCAGCGAGCTAAGCCCCGCCCCATCGGTTGCTGTTGCTTCTGTGTCTCTGCCATGCTTTCTTGAGATATGATTGGAACAAGTGAAAAGTTTAGTTCACCCAAAAATGAGCATTCTGTCATCATTTACTCACCCTCATGTTGTTCCAAACCCATAATACTTTCGTTCAACACAAAATAATATATTTTGAATGGAATTTGGTGGTTTCTGTCCCCCCACTAAAAGTCTGTTGACCCAAAACCCGCTTCAAAATGAATTGTAAAATAAGTCCATATGAATCGAGCAGTTTAATCCAAGTCTTGCTTGATTGCTTTTTATGATGAACAGATTTAAATTAGGCCTTTATTCATAGCATTTAACATTACGGCATTAAATTTGATCATAGAAGCTCAAGTATGCTTGCTTGACGCGCAAAAGCCAATAGGATTCATTCTCACGTATCATACTAGTACGTTTGAGCTTCCACAAGAACCAATGAGATTTGTTCGCGGATCAAGCAAGAATGGTTGAACTTTTGTATATGTTCCCTGATCAATTGTTTATATATGAATAAAAGCACAAGTTAAATATTTTTTCGTCATATAAAGTAAAGCTGTTTTTCCAACGAAATTACCTGGAACAATTTGTCCCAGGAACTTTTTTCCCAGGACATTTTTTCCCCCCAAACCTGCTGCTGTCTGCGTTTCCATCGTGGTCTAAAGTATCGTAAAGAATAGGCAAATAGTCTGGTGACGTAGGTCTGTGCACGTTTCTCAATACCAAGTACGCAAATTTCGGACTTGCATCCTCGGTAGTTCGGACTTTGCGAGTTCGACATGGGAGTGTGAACTCCTGCTGACGGGACGACGCAAGTCCGGTAATTCTGCAAACAGCAGCGTACTTGATAACGTCAGTCAGCTCGCCTTGGCTACTGCAGTTTTCCTCACTGTATTTACAATAAGACGAAATATGATATCAAACACCACTGCCTCCTTTCGTTTTCATTTAAACATATTAATAGCCGCAGAAATGTAGTTCAGGGAATGTATATAGCCTACATTACAATGAAACGAAATATTATATCAAACAGTATTGCCTCTTTTATTTTCATTTTAACATATTAATAGATTAATAGATTAATAGAATAAAAACCAAAGATTACCTGTTAGATTTACCCAAAAC